CTATAAAAAGTTATTGGTAATTTGGGTTGGCATTTTTCCCAATTAGATCTTGTTTTTGCAATATTGTTGCATTTTTTTTTGACATGCAAACATAAGAATATATCTATATATATATATATATATATATATATATATATATAGATATGCAATCCTACATTACCAAGCCCGAAACGTTACATTCTACAGTATAAACGAAGCCCACTCGGTTTTTACGAAGCCCGAAATCGGGCTTCCTAAAATTAGCGTGTATAAATTTGTTTTAGAGTTAAGTGATGCCCCCTTGTTTCAATGGCGAAAAAGTGGTGGGCTTCCTAATGCCATTCAAACCTATCAAAATATACACCCTTAGTTCCAATGCTTTGGCGGTAGGGGGCACACGAGTCAAATGAGATTATATACAGCTTTGTATAAGTATTACGCAGTATACGAAGCCCGTACATCTGGCAACAATGGGGACTATACGCTCGATGACTTTTTGATAGGAAGGCGGGGAAAATAATGCGGGATTCTTAAATTTGTATCTACTGATTTTTAAAATAGATGTTATATATATATATATATATATATATGTATTCCCAAAATTATGTTTTGGTTCTCTACATGGCGTGGATTAAAAGGCAATGTTTTGTTAAATACTTTCGTAATACACTTAATTTTAAAGAATGATTTATTTTTGAAATATTATTTGGAGTGCATTTTTCTTTGGGGCGGTTTTACAAGTTGTCCAGATATTTTACATAGTTTTAATTGGGGAAACAAGGGGATTTGTATATATTAATATTATTATTATTATTATTATTCAATGTTACATTTAAATAATTTAAATAAAAATAATTTTTAATTTATTTAAAACATTTCCAATTTTAATAAAGATAATTTTACATTTATTAAAAAAATTTCCAATAGCGGTATGAAATAAATTAAAAATTATGTCAAATTTTGTCAAATATCATTTAAATGTAACATTGAATTACAAAAACTGCTTTTTGACAGAAAGCTTCTCATGGCAATTTGTCAATTAACATTCACAACTGGTCAATTTATTTATATATGGCAAACAACGACCAAACGACCAAACAACAATAAGAAATTGGGTTCTTTATTTGAATAGTGCTTATCTAAAAGGAACCAAAAATCTGTTCGGAGCTTAACAAACTTATTTGTTTATACCTAACTCATTTTTAATGCTGCTTAAAAACTAAATTATAATTTGAAAGTCCTCTCAATAATTTAAAAGAAGTTCTAAATAATGATAAACTTTTTGAGCATTTTTAAAAATGAGTTATTTTACAAAAAAATTTGTTAAGTCCAAAAATAGTATTTGGCGCTTATACAAAACATTTTTTGAAATTTTGGCCTTAATATAAAGTTTTTGAAAACAAAAGTACCTATGTCTTATAAATCAAATACCATAAAGCCCACAAAACTCAAGTTTGCATTTTTGTTTATCTGTAAAGGCCAGGAAACCGGGAGTTTTTGCAACATTTATTAAAATGGATATAGCCGGTTTTCCACGGATGCTCCTCAACTATGGTCTAGGTCTTTTAAATCAAATTTGCCTACAATTATAAATTTAGACAATATTTTTAAATAATGAATTATAATTCATTCAATAATATAATAGTTTTTATTAAAATAATTATAAATCACACTATTTTTAAATACACTGCCCGACAAAATTATTGCATAATAAATAAAAAAAATTAACTCTATAACGCCTTTACTAATCTTTATGAAATTTTGGATAAAAATACTTCAACTTATATATCAATTTACGTGTTCATTGAACACAAGCCTTTTTATTTAATAATGAAAATAAGTTCGAAAAATAACTTTTAGGAATTTTTTTTTTAAATAAATAAAAAATATGCTGTTAAAGAGCGTATTTTTTTTTAGTATACCCTGAAAATTTTGTACAAATCAAGCGAACAGTAACGAAGATACAGCGCTTCAAAGTCGTGAAAAATGACCACTTTTCAGCAAAATAATCAAAAAGGCGTCATTTTTACCGACTTTGAAGCGCTGTATCTTCGTTATTGTTCACACGTAAATTGAGATATAAGTTGAAGTATTTTTATCCAAAATTTCATAAAGATTGGTAAAGGCGTTTTAGAGTTAATTTTTTTATATTTATTATGCGATAATTTTGTCGGGCAGTGTATTAAAGTATACGTCATTATTTAGATTTTTTAGAATTTTTGGTGTATTTAAAAAAAATAGATGTCTTTATAATTCATGAAAAAAATATTCAGTCAGTTTTACTTGTTTTGATTCCCATTTAAGTTTTACACAAAATTACCTAACCTCAACAATAATTCTTATAATAATTATAATTATTGATATATTTGTATATTGTTTATTAACATATGGAAATATATTTTTTAAAGGCTTAACTTTTAAACAAAAACGAATCGCATCCATGTCATTTAATAAAAAATGTTTATAATTAACCCAGCTATCATCTGACAAAGTTTGCCATAGAGCTTGTAGAGCACCCTGTATAAGATATTTAAACCTTTTCAAAATTATGATGTATAAACAAAATAAATGAAATGTTTATATAGGTACCTAAATTCAACAATAGTTTTAAATTATTATAATATAAATAATTATAATTTAACGATAATTATTATTATAATAATTATAATTCAACAATATTATTAAATATTTAAGTAAACCTACGTCATTATTTAAGAATATTGTTAAGTTTAAGTATCGTCTAGGTATTTTAAATCAAATTTGCCTATAATTGTAAATTTAGACATTGAAATAAAAAGAACACTTTCCTAACTTATAAAATAGATCTCACACTCAAACAATTTAATTAAAAAAACAGAGGCAACACCGCAGGGCTTCTGATACACCGCGGAGTGTGTTTCTTGTTGTTTATGCACCAACGAACAGTTAACCGCCCCGTCCCGCATTACCGGGCTTCGACTAGCCAGTGTAATGCACCGGGCTTCGTATTGATAGCCGTGCATGTATATACAGTGGCGTATTTAGGATTTAGCTCCGGGGGGGGTCCAAAAAAACTAACTAAATATGTACTATGCTATGCTTTAATACGTAAGTAGTTGATTTTTGATTTTAATGATTTTATATTTAAATATAATTAATAAATAATAAAGTACGTTGACTGTCTTGAGATTTTTATTTTTTTTAAACTATTTTTTGTAATAAAAATAACAAAATATGTGCGCCCGGGGGGGGTCCGGACCCGGCGGACCCCCCCCTAAATACGCCACTGTGTATATATATATATATATATATATTAATCAAATAATTTAACCGATGTGGCTATGATTTTTAATAAAACTTAAAATTAATTATACACATTCATAAAGTTTTTTCCGCATTGATAATGTTTTTAAAGAAATAAAATCCTTTTTAGCCAAAATTGGACAATTTTTGAAATCCAAAGTGCTGCAATACGAACAATTTTTGTGCGATTTGAATGAAATTAAAAAAAAATGTATCTTTATCTATTCACTTATCTAACATTAATTGATAATTGCTTAATGATTCAATATTTATTAAAATATGCTGGCCATTTTTTACATTTATTCAGGTAGTGACTTGCAAGACCGTTGTTTATATTTTCTTTAACATTTTCCTTCTTTCTTTTCACAATAACATTATTATTATTATTATTAAGAGTCTGAACTTTCATAAAGAAAATTAATCAAAGGACATAAATGCGAAAAACCAAAATAAAAGCACCTAACATAAGTATAAGTATAAATTAAAACCTAAGAGTCCAATGCGCAGGCGCCACGAAAACTGTTCTAAATAGTACGCACTCTGAGCTCGTATTAGTTTGAACGGTTCTGGACTAGTCCTGAACCGTCCACAAAATAAACCAAAACACCATATTCACCAGTTCCAAACTGGTTCTAAAAAACCCGAACGCAAATTTCGTAATGCGCATGATTCTGACAGTTCATTTCGCGAACCCGAACAAACCTATACATATTTCAATTCATTACTGCTCTCAGAATTTAGGAACAAAAATAAGCGTAAATATAAATTTTGAAACGCGTGGATGCCATTTTGCCAATGATTATTTGATTGCGTTTCAATTTTAAATAATAAAATAAATAGAAAAAGCTACAATATTTTGTAAAACTCATTAAAATCCTGTTACAGCACTTTGAATTTTAGAAATTGTCCAATTTTATTATAAAAGTGATTTTAGAACGGTCATATTCCGTAATAGGAGAAAAAAAAAACTTGTTCTACTCATTTTAAGGAATATTAACTTTCTAATATAACTTTTTAATTTGGAATTACATAATAACTTATAATATATTATATTCCTAAGTGTTACAGAATGACAGAATAAACACTGGTGGCGTCATATCTGTGTTTATTATCTAATTATATCAAATTAAAGTCTAAAAACGAAATAGAATTTTTTTATTTCGTATTTAGATTTTAGTTAGAATAAGTTTTTTCCGTAAAACAAGTTTTTTCTATTGGCAACCCCATCCACTGTATACTATGTTGAACAAAAACGTTTATTTCGCAATAAGTATCTTAAACCATAGGTGGCAAAATTGCTGTTGACCAGTGTTATTAAAAAACTTAATATCAGTCCATTGGACTGAGTCCAAGATAAATTAATTAGGGTTTGGTTAGTTTTAAATGAGATTTGTGAATATTGTAATATTGCGTGACTCTTCGACATATATTTTTTTAATACTTATCAAATCCGACACTAAACAGATCATCTTGCACATGATTTAACTGTATTTTATAATAAAAAAAATGTATACTTTAATGAAATAAAACAATCTAAAACATAAATGTATGTGTATACAATGAGATTTACAAAATTAGATACCATAAACTAAAATAACAAAAATAGTAAAGTAATTAGTTAAATATTTACCAATTATAATTATTTAAGAACGCATACAAATCTAATCTAAAATAAGATTATTGTTGTTACTGTATATATATATATCAAATGATAATTGTGTAAAACTCTTCAAAATACTATTTTGTGTTTGTGAGTAAACACAAATAAAATAAAACTGTGTGTGATTTTGTTTTATTGATTTATTGTGTGATTTTGGTAAGTTTTTATTAACACGTTAATACAAAATGGCAAACATTTAACATTTAAAACCTTAGTAGGTACTAAATATAACCATTGGACTATTTACTCAAACCAAAACTGCTTAAAATATATGCAAAACTTTAAAAAATAATCTAGTTTTTATTATTTGCATTACAAATTTAAAAATTAATATTTATTAAATTAGGATTATATTATCAACTTCGAGGTTAGTTTATTTTAGTGAAAATTTGTTTAACCCTCCGATCGGTGGTAGTCCAAGTGATTGTTAAACTGATGTATAAGGTCGCTTCAAAGAAATAATAAAAAGGTGACATAAAAGTAATGTTTATGTGTGTAATTTATGGTTGTAAAAAGTGCACCAATGTATAGGATGTATAAAATAAGGAGAAATAGCAAAAATAATGCCGATACATTTTCTGATTTATTTGACCAGATATAAGTATTGGTATTTTATTTTTATAAATATTCTATTCTATAATTAGTCAAAAAATGATTAATTGTCATAGTGAAAAAGCGACCATTATATAATAATAACTGTTGTCAACAGCAAATTGTATACCAGACATTTAGCAGTCAATTTCTATATAAAATTGTTCGTTAAATCCCAAAATGTCATCAAAATCTATAAAATTAGACTAGTGTTTGAGATTATAGTCAATTTTCCATATAATATGGAATTAACTAGGTATACCTCAAAAACTACCCTACTTTTATAACTTTTGACGGTGTTTTTGGATTTAGCGGTCAATTTTATAGAAGTTGACTGTTAAATGTCAGGGATACAAATTGCTAAGAACTTATTCATTTTAAGAGCATATTATATTCTATCTATCTATATTCTATTATACGCATTCATAGTTTTACGTTTTTATTATACAGTGCGCTCGTTATCCCCCCTGTTAACTTTCGAATGAAAAAAGGTATCGACATCGGACAAAAACCGTTGTTATTTTATATTTCTTACTTTCTCACGTCAAATTAATAGGGGCTAAGAGGGCAGTATCAACTTAAAAATTTCTAATGGAAAGGGGGGGGGGGGGCTTGTGATACCTCATTTATTGTTTTTGTGTTCAATGGTTGCTAAGATATGAAACGTTTAGGTAAATAAAATTAGTTAAATTAAATTTTTGTTTCCATTTACAATAAATTTCCAATTATCCAATAAGTCATCAAATTAGATGTTTGACATGCTTCCCTTGGACACCTTGACACAAAAATGGTCTGTTTCTAATTTTAGTTCATACATTTGCAAAGGTTTCTTGTTTAATATTCGCACATTTACGTCTAATCCGTTGTTATAGATTATCAATTCCTTCCGCTTTGGTGGCCCCTTCGATTTTAAATAACCCTACAAAAAACATCAAGTCGAGTTAAATAACAGCGTCTACCAATCCACCTGTTTTAAGTCTTATCAAGCCACTGTCAAACATCCCTAAAATATTGTGCGGGCGCTCCATCTTGTTGGAATATTACTTTCATGTCAAATTCGTCAGGATTAGCTTGAAGTAAATCTTGAATCATTGGATGAATTTGTGTTTGAAGCATCTACCAGATGCCTGTTAAATTTCCATCTAAAAAGATGGGCCCTACATTATGGTTTCCCAGTTGTCCCATACATGGACTTTTTGTGGGTACTGGGGGTGACCTTTATGAAAAACATGTGGATTAACATATGACCAGTAACGTACATTTTGCAGATTTACTATGCCATTTAGAAAAAAATGCATTCATCACTAAACCAAATTGATTGGGGATTTTGTATTATGAGCTGACACATAACTTCACAAAATTGTAGGTACTTTGCAAACCGGTTCATTTTCAGTAAGTTGATTTATAGGAAAATTTGCTGTTTTAAATATTTTTGAAATATTTTGCTATATCACAATCCCCTGCAACTTCCGGCGTCAATTGTTTTGGACTATTGACGACGAAATCGACTATTTCTATTTGTTTGGCTTCTGAGATTGAATTTTAACCTGGTATTTTCTGCCTTGTCATACTTTCAGGTTTTTGAAATTTAATCACCAACTTCTGTTGATATTTTTTGCAAATAGGGTTGTCTGGGTACCTTTTATAAAATACACTCTCTGCTTGGTGCAAATTAAGTCCAACTTTAGTTTATAAAAAAATCTGATTTTTCTAGTGGTGCCATCTAGACAAGACAAGACAAGAGTTTCTTACTCTTGTCCTGTATTGAAAATTTCAAGACAAGAGTCTAAATCTTGATTAAAAAAGCTTAATGCGGTTTTAACTAGTCTAGATTATTATTTAAGATTCTAGATTACTATTCAAGTCTAGATAGAAATTATGCGTCTGCGCAATGTAACTCCCACTCTTGTTTTAGAACCAAATGAATCAGTAAATTTATTAATAAAATATATATATATATATAAATATATGTAGAAAATAAGCCCAAGATTTCAATAAAATAAATATATTCCTTATTTGTTAAAAAAATTCATGAAAAATATGCAAAATACGCCGATTTCCCCCCTTAAAACATATTAAAGTGCTTTTTAATAAAAAAATATTTATTAAATAAATAATATTTAAAAGTTCAATTTAATCTAGTCTTAAAAATAATCAAGAGTTTTGGCTTAAAGTCTTGTCTTGTCTTGACTATAATCAAGAGTATGTCTTGATAAACTTAGACAAGATATGTTGACGGTCTTGACATGTAGACATGTAATTTATTTTCCCTTAAATAAAGTTTATTATGCATAATACTTTTGCATTTTATATATTAATACAAAATTTGTTAAATTTTTGTTACAAAACATTAACTTTTTAGACAATTTGTTATTTTTCTAGCAATATACATATACTTTAAATCTTTTGATCGACTAAATTTGGTTAAAAAAAGGAATTTTTTATTATTTAGATTTTTTTCAAGTTATTATATGATAATAATAATAATATATATTTGTTACCCAACAAATTACATAAGAAAATAAATTTAATAAATAAATTTAATAGAGAGGTAAAAGGAGAATACCTGAGAAAATACCTGTTAAAAGTATTTAAATATACTATATTCAAACAATCCATTGTACTTTACAAGTTAAAATTTGGTAGCTACTAGTACATAGTAGCCTGGATTAAGTTTAAATTAAAATAGCTGGATACTTTTAATTAAATTTTAAAATATAGGTCATAGGGATCATCATAATTAATCAAAAATTATCGCACTGATATTTTTATATACGTAACTACGGTTATAACAAATATGTTGATAGTGAGTTTTTAATAGTATTCCTACATAAACCAAAATAGTTTTTTGGAATTAAAATTGTGGAGGGACAAAATAAAAAACAAATCACTTATGCACTACGAATATTTATTTTTTCTTTTTGTATGGAATTGAAAAACAACATATCCTTACACATTTTCATACTTTTTATTAACTTATATTTGAAGATTTTGATAGAACATTTCATTTTGTTTTAGGAATACAAAATTCGAGAACATTTTATAATTATGGTGATTAAATAAATTTATTTCTATTTGTTTCTGTGCCAACAAAATTTTACTATGCCTTGTACATACGACCGTTACACGTATAGAAATTAAAAAATTATTTACATTATTTGATTTGTCAAGTGTTTCGAATGTTTATAAACAAAATCGGGCAAGTATTTTATAATTATGGTGATTAAATAAATTTATTTCAATTTGTTTCTGTGCAAACAAAATTTTACTATGCCTTGTGCATACGGCCGTTACACGTACCTACCTATAGAAATTAAAAAAATATTTACATTATTTGATTTTTCAAGTGTTTCGAATGTTTATAAACAATTAAATTAAAATTATCTAAATAAACCTAATATGCTTGAGAAAAAATAATATTTTTAAAACTTTAGGGTAGTAGCATTTAAGTACAAACCAACATTTATTTTTTTAATTATTGCTTCATGCCCTGATTTTAACCTCCAAGCTTGAAATCGCTGATATCATTCCTGTTAATATGATATTTATGTAAAGTTTTTGTCTTAGAATTAAGTGCTAATTTAGAATTTTAAAATCCCCCAACACTGTTAATAACCAAACTCAATATGGTCTTTAATTTTGATTATATTGTTATTATTAATAAGTTTAAATTAAGTCACCCTGTATAAAATTTAAACAAAATCTAATTACTTAACTTATCCTTAGACAGACGAGGAGTGGAAACCAGCAATCAAATAAATCCAGCAACCGTTAACTGAAGAATAGGAACAAAACAGAACAAACAGAAAATTACATCGATAACTTGATGATGGTACATTGCTTATGGTTTCAAATTCCAGCGAATTAACGCAAGTCAATTGATTTGATCTAATAAACAAAACGTGTGCGCACAGCTGTTTTCTGTTTCTGGCGCCCAATCAAAATTTTATTGAGAGTGAGTTTTGCAAGAATCGAGAGACATGAGGGAGGACTCGCTCAAGTATATGTTTTCTGGAACGTTTCCGCAGGTGCTGGCGGTATTAACATGTAAGTAAGCTTTAAGTGGAACGTTATTTTTTGTATGTGGTGATAAAAAAATTAGTCAACATAGTGATTTTGCTGAGCACGTGATGGCGTTTAAATATAGAATATTTACTTGATGCCAAATGCGCTACAATGTTAAATATTAAGTTTTTGAAATTTCATAATTTTTATCATTCTTAAAGTTAGATATATCTAACATTTTTACATACTATATGTAAAAATGTGATTTATTTATCACATTGTTACAGGAAGATGTTGTACAATTAGATAAAAGTAAGGTCAATTCATTTTAAAATAATACTTAAAATCCCAGCAAAATTTCACAACTTTATAAAACCTTTCATATCATAATTTTAATTAATAAAAAAGAAATTGGAAACATTTTTAATTTTTATTTACCTGTAAATTAATAAAATATGACTGTTTAAAAAAATCAAACCACAGTGCACCAAACATTTTTAAACCAGATTAAATTGTTTTTCCTGTAAGTATACGGTAGATATATATATCTATCTATATATCTATCTATATATATCACCCGTATACGGGTGGCTCAAAAATTTGAACTTTTGAAATATCAAAAATTAAAAAAAAATGTTTTTTTATAAAAGTTGTTTAATAGTTTATTTCAAATTTTGCAGTGACATTACCAACTTAAAAAAATTAATACGTAGCCTCCAAACGGGGTCAACTTTTTTGTCCTTTTCCTTTGTTTCACACTTCAGAATTTTTTACAATTTTGCTTACTCATGATTGGCATTAAATAATGCACATACTTTTCGGTCACCATACCCAATCATTATTAAAATTTTAATTCTTTCTTCTTCAGTACGCATTGTTTTTACGGTAGCTATTATTAGCACACTATTACATGTGAAAATTGCACTGAATGTCGAATTTTTTTTTAATAAAAATGAATTACAGGTAAACGGTGTGAAGCCTAAAAAACCATATTAAAAAAACTTTTTTATACAATTTAAAAAAAAATTAACGTTTAACGCTCAGCTACCTATCATTCCTATATCGGTTCAATATTATTACACCATTATAATCAGAAAAATAGCCTCTTTCAAATTCTAATAAAAAATGGGGGTTGTAATTAAAAAAAAAGTTGGCAATATTACCGTAAAATTTTAAATAAACTACCAAACAATTTTTATTTAAATCATTTTTAATATTTTCGATATTATATATATACCGATCACTTACTTATTAGACATGGGACCCACACCAAATTTATAAGTTCATAATGACACCAAATTAACAAATTCTGCGCAAGCAGAATTTAAATAGACGAAAAAAAGATACGCCTACCTCCCCCCTAATAAATTTACAATAGTTTATAGAAAAATTTAAAAATTCTAAATATGGCAGTTAATACCATTTTAAATAAATTTTTATTTCTTTTCCTAAAATAATAAAAAAAATAAAATGGGATAAAATCTATAATATTTGTATTTTTTTAATAAATTATAAAATTTGTCAATAAACTATGGTAAAGTATAAATTGCACCACTAAAATTTGTATTATCTAAAGATAATAAATTAGGGGGACAGGCTGCAGGGTAGGAGGATCAAAAACTTTTTCACAAACTCCTATTGAAATTCTGCTTGCGCAGAACTTTATAGTGGTTTATAATGACACTAAATAAATAATTTGTTGTAGATCCCATGTCTAATATAATAAATATGGCATTTGCAAAATCCACCAGCCGCCACCAACCGTTTTACTATTGAATAGGTTATAATAACATTTTTAATAGTAAAACCATTGAGTAAATAACTCAATGGTAAAACCCTCGCTGGGTTTGTAAAAGTTAGCTCGAATTGTTACCTTTGGTCTTATAAAGTTTTTGAGTTTTAGGTAAGGTACTAATAATTATTATTATTATTATTATTGAGTATGAGTATGAGTATGGGAACGTATGGCAAGCCCCAGATATATTGTCATCCACTGATCTCCCGGGGTTATATTACCCCCTTTCCGTTCTCCTGCGTATCCCGCCAAATCACAGCATTACCTGTGTTTGTTGGATCCGAAGTTTTTACGCCGGCTGGTAGATCCACCCTAGAAGTTCGTGGATGACAGTGTCAAAGGTTAAGGCAGCTCCCGGGATTTTTGTCAGCCGGGTCGGGCCATACGTCCAGTTTAGGAAGGGTTTTTGGAGGACATTGAACTGACCCAAAACTAAGTACAATCCGGAATCCTCCTAAACCAGGGCTTTAGTAATAACCCCATTCATTTGGTATTCCTGAATGGGGGTGGGTGGATTAGTATGCTGCTAGCGCCTTTCCTTGATGGTGTACTTCCTGATAGCCGCTTTAGAATTGTTTGCCCCCCTGTGTGTTATTGAGTCGTATCTTCCGAACCGAAGAGATGCCGGCCGCACCCCGCCGTAATCTTGCCCTCTGACTGACTATGTGGAAATACGTTTAACCTACTGAAATTGTCGACCCTCGAATTATTTTTTCCCACTGTGCATGATTCCAGTGTTCTTGGACGGTTTATACTTAATTTATGAACCAAACGTCTTGGTAATCTACAGATGTAAACGTAAATAAATAAATTTCTTTAGAATGGTTTCTTTTGCTTAATGTTTATCGTAACTTGAGTGATTAATGGCTTCTTATGTTATTCACCAGTGTTGCCATTTGTAACATAATTATCGAATTGTAACATAAATTTTTCTAAAAACAGCTTGAAAATTATATGTAACATAACGGTAATTGTAACATAATTTTTAATACAAGTATCTGGACAAAATTAACTTAATTCTATCCAGATTAATAAATTTAATTAAGCATAAAGCCTGATTTATAGATTTTCTACCTTCCTCCCGTAAAATATCAGCAATACCGTAGTGCTGTTTATAGTTTCCCGTACGGTATTTATAGTTCTAAAGGTAACGGTAGAGGCAACGATAACGGTAGCCAAGTTGGGCATTGAATATTATATGAAACAATTTATAGTTGTCAGTATACGTTATAGCGGCAAGAGCGGCAAGATATGACCATTTTCATCTTTTCTTACCTCATCCGCGACTCCAGCCAATTACACGGCAGTTTTTAGTTGACAGCCTCGCCTTGTAAGTTTAGTGTTTATAGGAGGGGCCGCCATTACCGCTACCGCTACTTTCTGAACTATAAATCCAGCTTTATACTATTTTTAACAAATTTTATATTTTCTAAAAATTCGATAATAATTTCAACCCTGCTTCTTTCACTTTTTTATGATTAAATTATAATAATTATTGTAACATAATTATTACAATTATTGTTACTTAATTTTCCGAAAATTCGATAATTTTATTTAGCCAATTCGATAATTTCAACTTTTGCATCTGGCAACACTGCTATTCACACACAACTTGTTTATGTTGTTTTTGTCTTCTTGCTTTTGGTTTATTTATTTATCTTACGCCTTTTTCGATGGTTGTTTATGATTTGTCTGCTAAGTATGAGAAAATGAGGTTGTTTGTTTAAACTTACGGAATTGTTCTTATTCTTTTTTAATTTAGTTTTTGAGACAATAAAAGAATTCTTAGTATTTTCTTTTTGCAACATTGTGAAATGCTTTTATAAACATTTAGCGAATATACGGTAAGACATGCAATTGGAAAAAATAACTTAGCTTGATTATTTGGTGCAGTAAATTTCATGGAACTGAACGTCTCTCTCACACCTTTTAACCAGGTCCAACACTTGAGGTACCACACACAATTTGCACTCTTTTGCACTTGGGACAGTTATCGCGTTTAGAATCGATTGATTTTTTATTATTTTACGGCGTTCGCCAGTTATCACGTTAAACACTGCTTAAGAGAGATCTCGATGAGCATATGCTTACACTTCAAGCGTCAAGAGCATACTGTTTATTATTATTATTATTATTATTATTATTATTATTATTATTATTATTACAATTATTGTAAATTGACATACCGTGGGTTGAATATTATATTGTTCTATCAGCAATTTTGGCGGAAAATGAAATTTTTACATGAAAATGAAGGTTTAACGAATATCTATCTATCTAAATAAGTATCACTGTTAAATATAGCCCAGAAATACTAAAAACGACATTATTATTTTGTTCTATGTGCGAAATTCAAATATAATTAACTATTATAATGTTCTAACAAACCAGTCAGAATAACATATCTGTCATCGGCAGTTAAAGGAATTACGTCGTAGGTTTTTGGTGGTTTAAGTGATTATTTTATTTAAAAATAAATGATAGTGAGATTCCGTAAGTACCAAAATACAATAGTTATAAAATACCCAAATAAAACTTATAATTTGTACGTAAAGTGATTTGTGCCCTAAACTTAAACGTAGCTACTAACAGAACATTATTAGCATATTTCTACGAATTTGTTTGCTTTAAAACATGCTTTTAGAACTTTTTCTCAAACTATATTTTTTAGTTGCTGTTCAACAAGTTCAGACGTATTTGAAAATAATCATTTTGTGCATCAAATTGAATACTTAGAAGATAGTGATAATTCCTGTGCAGATCCAGATTATGTGGCTTTAGATTCAAATGAAGCAGCTTTGAAATCACATGCAAAATGTGGTAATATAGGTAAATCCTAGTCTACTTTTTTATAATTTTGTATTGGTTTTTATTTTGTTTTTAGACCTGAGTATGGCGATGTATTTTCGCCAATGTTGATACGAGATATTCGCAATGCACCTGAACTAAAAAAATGTCTCCTGTCTTTTGCTAAAGTTGCTGATCTAACCAAATTATTTAAGTTTATGCCGCCTGTTGATGTAATTTTTAAAAAACATTTTTTAAACAACTTAATAGTGCTGCTGTATTTGCAAATGAGAAAAAAAAGACAATAATTAGTTGTTGAGTTGAGTTATCATAAATAATTAGTATTACTTAACCCTTAAGGCTCGCGGGGTGTACAAAACACCCCAGCTTCCTAAATATAGCTACCGGTCTCACTTCGTTTCCAATAAATGGCGCTTACTTTCAGTACCTTCCTGTCAAA